GCAATCCTTTACCACACACGCTGTTAACATAAATAGCTCCGACGCACATTCCTTCCACAACAATTCGTCACGGTATTTAGATCTCAAGAGATCAAAACTTAGTTTCGGTCCCTGGTTCTATCATTCCTATGAAGGATGCAGTTTGTTATTGGAAATCAAATATGGGAACAAATATCTGCTTGAGGCTATATATGAATCATCATTCATCTTTTAAATTAATAATAGGTGAAACTTATTCCTAAAAGCTGTAGGGAGGGATGGGTCGTTGAGCAATTTGTCGTTTGGCAACCTGATCTTATCCTTTTTACAATCCTGAAAAACTTTGTTCCTCCCATCTCACTAAAAAAAAGATTTAACTGTTGAATGCTAATTAACATTAAGCTTTTGCTGTAAAACTGCAGCAGGTTGGTCTTCCTGAATATTTTTACTTGAACTGGATTACTTCCTGCTACACTCTGGTAGAGCTAATAAAAATCACTTAATGGATGTGTGCTTTTCTCCGAGCTGATTCTCTGCTAAAGAAGGTTGCTTCAATAGGCTTGTAATAACTTCACTAATTCATTAGTGTGCAAAACTGAACAGTACTTGAAGGAAAACGTAAACAAGTAACTCATAAAATCCAGAGAAAGAAAGAAAAGAAAGTGAAAATAATTGTCAGCCCTGAACTGGGCATAAATGACTAACAATTTGTTGATCAAAGATGGACAGTATTCTCCCATTTTAAAGTGGGAGATAGATGGGAAAGGTAAGAAGGAACATATTGAGGATGAGTAACAAAAAAACTGTGATGAAATAGAAGCGAGGACAATAAGTGAAGGGAGAAAGTGAGGAAAAAAAGTGAGCACAAACGAAATGTAAAATAGCACGATAATTGAATCAAAAACTGATCACGAAAAGCAAAGAATAATGTAAAGATAGTGTCGAAAATCATATTGGGATATGTGTAACAATAACGACCAGAAATTAGAAGAGAGTATAATGGACATGAATTCGAATTAAGGAGGCATTGAAAATTGTTATCAAAAGATTACTACGGCTCACTCATATCAGCACAAAAAAAAAGTTGAAGGTTATGGGAACTATTGGATACAAAAGAATGAGGATTATCCGATACGAAGCGACTTCATTATAATAAACAGTATTTCTCTGATCACGACGGAATACCACGGTTACAGGCAGAATTGCACTGTCAAATAAACAAATAAAAGGAAACACACAGCAATGGCAAAAAAAAAAGAGGAGAACTCTATGTTTGATCAAATCATTTGAAAAACGAATATTGAAATCAATGAAATAAGAAAAAGAGTGGAAGCGAAATATCATAGGGAAGAAAAACAGTAGATGAAATCATGGAGACCGCAAATAGATAACTGCAATGGAAACTAAGTTGTGATTCAATACAGACAGGATGGAATGTCTTGAAACAAACAAGAAACGAGCATAGAAAATTCAAAATACTGCTTATGTAATAAACACAGCATATTCTGACATAAAACATACTTGGGAAAAATGAACACTTGGGAAAAATCACCTAAAACGTGCAAAGAAAACACTAAATGGATTAGAAGACTCGAAATATGAAATATATCAGATTGAAAAGCATGCCATACCATCTGATGAAAAGGTCATGGATACCGTTAAATGGTCAATCCTAGAAATAAATGAACTATATGGATTTTAGTTAAGAAGTGGTGACAGCTTATGCCTTAGAATAACAAAACATTTTAATATTCAGCTGCAAAATAATTGATAGGACGTTTATTGATAATGAAAGATGAAAAAAGTATTAACAAATGTTAACACGGATTATCGATGTTAAAGTAGACAAACTGTTCAGCGTGACCTATTTTTAAAAGAGTACAGAGATATGCTCGAGATTTGGAGATTAAACACTGACAAAATGACAATGAGAAATCGCAAATGAAAATAGTTAAATTTGCTTCTGGCATGGAGACATTGTAGGAAGACTACAATTCCTTGTCACTTTTGAAAAATCTCCAATTTTCTGGCTAGTCTAACAATCCGAGAGAGAATATCTCATCAACGGTTAAAAAGACTGAACTTGTAAAGATATGATTATAATGATATACTTCTCTAGAATACTAAAGAAAACTAAATGTATCTAAAAATCGTTAAAGATGAGAGTAAAATTAACCATCTATTCTGTATTTTTTTTCAGTGAAAATATGGGTGATTTGAAATTGCACGAAATCATAACGGGAAGATCAATGGTTAGGCGTGATAGATTTCTAATCAGTAAATCGACTAAAAGAAGAAAGAATACAAATATCGACACAATCATATTGTAGCTGTAATGCACGGCTATGAAAAAACGTCAAATGATAAACCAAAAGTGGCGAATAAATGCAGAAATAGGGAATTTCAGCATAAAACATTCATCAGTAATGCATGAAAGGAGTAATTACTTCAATATTAAAAGCTTTGAAAAAATGACGAAGTTAATGATGAATGATTAAAGAACAATAAGGGTTCAAAATTCCAAACTGAAACACCAGGCAATACGCAATAATAACATCTCACTGCCGATCATAACAGCACTGAAATCGCATTTGTCGAAAGAGAAAAAAACAAAACATCGATAGTCAGTATGCTCCACTGCCACCGTGGTTTTCACGTCAATATCGTGAAGAGGTATTACTTTGAATAATTTTATAATTGCTACAGAGATGAATTCCTGCTCATAGATGCATAGACACTTATCTTCCTTCCCTACGAATAACACATTTCTCCTCCTACTTTTAATAATATCTTCATTCATTCTTCTATGGTTTTTTGAAGAAATAACTTCCCGTCTTAGTTTGTTTGCCATTATAGCACTAAAGAGTTATTTTAAAAATGAACGTAGTATGCATATGAGAGGAGACTGATGGACTAATCCATAAGATTTCACTCAGGTGTCTCACTTTAAATGGGAAGTACACACGTACATAACTGCTTATATCTCTTTTCTTCTCTAAGTTATAATGCAAATTTCTACTACAATTCATTGTAATTATCCATAACAAATATGACCATTCTATGTACATCTTATTCACAAATCAGAAACAGTGAACCGGACTTCAATCGAATCATGATAGTCCGCATCTGTGATTTTCCATCCCAATAACTTTGAACATGTATTGCTGACGCTTTGTTTGTTTTGCGAGAAAATAAGTTTCCACGGTTGATAAATGAAACTTTATTACAAAAAGAGCGGTAATGAGCTAATCTTCGGAACTACTGAAAAATAACAACTTAAGGAGAGATAAATTTATTCGAAAGAATGCAGTGTAATAAAAATACAGCAGTGTTTTTCTTTCATCATCACAATGGCCAGAACATGAATAAACGTATTAAAAATGATTGCACCTATCATGGCATGAAGTGACTATAATGAATATCCCGTTAATTTAAGCAGAAAGTTGCCAAATAATGTGATGATCAAAGGGCAAATAAAATATATATATATATGTCACAAATAATGATGAGGAAAGGTAAAGAAAAACGAATAAAACTGGACAGAAAATGGCAAAAAAGCGAACTATGCAGTAAGGTAAGGTATCTTTTTCCGCATAGGTTGTTTAAATCTAGAGAATTTGAAACCTCAAACTTTAAAAATCGAAAGTATAAAAAATAAAGGAATGTCGCATTAAAAAAAAACACCATCAAGTCTATGCATTCATTACTAAGCATAAATATATCCACCGGTGTATACAAATTTATAAGCGAACTCTAAAGGAAAATTTCTAAGCCGTTACCATGTGCCAAACTATATGATAGAAACATGAGTAAGATAGATATCAATATCATACTAAAAATTTTTAAACTTAATAACTCTGCAGATGAAAATCCTAAATGTAAGCAACGGATTAATTAGCGAAGGTTGTTAACAGTATACAATAAAATTTACTAGGTAGGACAGTGCAGTACATTTTAGGCACTTTACGGCTTTAGAAAATTATTTGGAGAAACAGCTTATTCTGAAAGCAAACAGAGCAAGAGGCACAGAAAAAAAATTTTCTTATTGGAGAAGATTTCAACAACATTAAATAAATTTGCTTATACATCGTTGAATTGGATGAGTTTAAACATGTGAATCAATACCACCCGATATCTTCAGCAGAAAACACCGGTCTTTCACTTGATACTTTTAAGCTAAAGTAAACGAAAAAAAAAAAAACTAATTAAAAAAAAAAAAACCAGAAAGTGGACTAACACAGCGAAAGTGGGAAAAAATACTATCAGTTTCGGAATGGTACTGTATACGTATACTGCAACAATTCTGATTGGAAATATGAATTGAAGATATAATTAAAGAAAAAGTGAAAAAAACGAAATACAATAAAAATCTAACTCAAAAATAATACTTTCAGCGTTTTTGTAGGGCAGTGAGCATACATGCACTAATAGAATTCCAATCGACCGAATCTGATCTCGCATAAATGAAAATATATATATAAACTCTTTACAAAGCAAAACTTTTGGGTAAATTCCAGAGAACAAGAAACAAATGTCGTCATTTGTATTAACACTGGAAATGCCCAAATATTTTGCTGCTAAAAATTTGCATGTTTTTAATTTTAAACAACAAATTAAACGAAGTGATCGATTAGTGATAATCAGTCAGTAGTTCAAAGCTCTGTTAATAATTCATGGTATTGCACAGCAGGAAAGTGCGCATGGACTTAGTGTACAATAACTATGCGCATTAACTACAATTATACCACTGTGCGAAGCAACTAAAAATACAATAAACTAAAACCTGGAATTAATAAAAAAGCACAAAAATGACCGTAGGTCTCCTCGTTTCGCTTTGAAATCTGTTTTATCGATCCTAATAAGATTTAATTGATTTTTACAATATTATCGATTCCCAGAGTTCTTAAAAGCCGATTTATATTATTGCTTCAGTTGGACAAGATTTCCAGATAAGCTTCCACAGTTCAACATGCCTAAGCATTTTTTTAGAACCAAAAGAAAATTTTTTAACAAGATGTAAGCTAGAAATGACAGTCAGCCGTAGTTACGGAAGATGGTGCACCGGTCCGATGAACATGAACGCATACCCAACCTCGTCCATTACGTTTATGCCACACGCGTGTTTCTTGTGCCTGCCTTGATCGGGCATCACCATTCCTGAAAGTGCAACACTAACTCTATCCATTCCAATGCTTAGATTAGTTTATCAAAAAATAAGCAAGCAGTGAACCATGTAAGAAATGTAAACAAAAGGTTGAAATTTCGTTTATGAAAATTACTACTTGTAGAGATATGAGCTTACTTATCAATGAACTGCGTTAAACGAATGTAAGCGATACATGCGCCTTCATCACCCATTAGGTGCACATTCGGATTGAGCAATGTCGTGTGGATTTTTGGCCCGCGTGTTCCGCTATCTAAATTACTTTCAATCAAAAAACATAAATTTCAGAACTGATAGAACAGCCAATCAAGTAAGCTTAGAATTTTAAAACAATACCCAATAATATCATCCTTTCCTTTCAGCATAATTTTCAAAAAAATGCTGTGAGAAATGTGAGGATGTGAAAAGTTATGAGAATTGAGCACTGAATTTAATAGGAAACTTAAATTCACTGAATTCAAAGCCAGAAAAATAAAACTGCCTGCTAAAGACAAAGTGTTCCTTCAACAGCTGTTCCTCAAAGTCAACATTATGATTTAAAAGATGACTTACTATTATCAAAATAAAATTTGTGGAAATCCATTCCTTCAATTAGATTACCAAGTGCTTCTGGCTCAAAACATGTCATCGATGGGTCACAGAGTCTTCTGAAATTTTTAACAATTGCTTTTAATGAAATAAAATTATTCGTCATAGATATCAACTGTGAAGTACGAGAATGTTGCAAACAACATTTAATTTGCTGATGAGAATGTTAACCATCTTAAATTTAACATAACAGTTTTTTTTTAATCCAGTTTAAGCACGATCGTAACTCATATATACTGAAAAATAACAAGTGAAAGACATTCTCTACTCTAATAGCTGAAAATTATGGTATGAAAAATTTTCTGCCATCTGGAGAATTGGATAACAATAAAAATTCAACTGAATGTAAGCGTACATTCAATGAACTCAAATGAAAAATTGTAAAATAACTATGGAACTCACGAGTAGGACTCGTAATCTTTACATGAAATAGCGTCCAATAGTTGCTGTGTTACACGAACAATCTCCTGTTTCTGAACTGTAAGAACGAAAAGAAATTTACTTTAAACGCATTTAAAATAAAGCGAAGATTTATGAATAGAAGAATTCCAAGAAATTTTAAGAAAAATTAATGCAAAATCAAAATGATACAACGTGTGTTTGTGCCTAATGAAGGAATGTTGATGATTTGAAAAGAGGGTAAAATCATAAAACGCGATAAACAAACTACACTTTCTACTCAAACAGAAAATTTAATGCAAATATATACTAAAAACCAAAGAAATTCAGGGATGATATGAAATATATCGATAAAACTCAAATATATGAAAGCATACTGCTTTACTTTTCACTAGTATTCAATAAAAAAAGCCAAGGAAAGGACGTTTTAATATTTCTGTCATCACTAAATAAATTTTAACTAGAATTGAACTTTTTTGTAAACGACTTTTATGATCAACATTAACTAATACAAACAACACTAAAATTCCATTTAAGAAAAGAATTTCTGATCGATGTTGTCATTCTTAAATTGAAATTAATACTCGGCAATCAAATGAGTATGATTTGCATCTGCTGCTAACAATATCATGCATTTTATCACTGTTTTTAATATTAATCTAAAGTTAAATATTACTTATCCATTCAGTCCATAACTCCAATAATTATTCTCTCTCTAAATCCAATAATTATTCTCTAACAAGGCTAAGCATGAACAAGGATTTTCAACACAATACCGCGTTATGTTTGCTTACTCATTACCAGGATCACCCACTCATTTGATCTTCTTATTAACTATTTATTCGTTTTATTAGTAATTTATTCAGTTTTAAGTAATTTTAATTAACTGATCTTTTTGATAAATTGACTTTTCCACAACAAAAAATTATATGCGCTAGCTGCAGAAATGAAAAAGCCATCTTGTTCATTTAATAATATGGCGTGCATTAGAACATTTTTTTAAATTTTAAATCAAAGAAATAATATTTCACAGTGTCCGAAAAATAGGCGATTCGAAACTATCGCAAAAAATCCTGCCAAACAATCATATAAGGGCAAATCAAGATAGCAATTTTCAACACTTTTAGTTATCTATGGTATCAAATCATTAATTTATGGAATAGAATGCAAAATTGCTTTCTAATAAAATTAATTTATGAACTAATCCTTCGTAAAGATCGCATATAAACAAAAATTTTTAAAAATCTTCTTGAGTCTTCTTTATGCATAACAAGGTTATGAGGATTATCCAGTTGTTAGCTACCTCAATGTAATGATTATACATTGCAATGAAGTTGTTTGAAAAAGACTCACGAAATACCAGAGAATTTCTACATCTTACAGTAGGAAAAACTATAACAAATTAAGGGTCACATATTTTTAGGACACTGTAGCTAATTTAATTTCATCCATAGGCTATTAGTTCTTTTATATTTAAAAAAGCACATGCAAAAACATGCAATTTTTTTTTAAAAAAGCACATGCGAATCAGGAACAAATGTAACAATAACAAATGCTTGCTACATCAAAATCTTTCAAAAGTGCCTGTAAAAAAAATCATTATAGTGGACTTTGTTACTAGAATTTATTACTTTAATAAATGAACGCAAAGCTTGTGTTCTCAGGTATCTTGCCAGAACTTTTATTATACAAGGATGAAGATTTCTGATAATACAAAACTGAAAATAGAAGAAAATGAAGTGGAGATGAAGAACAGAAGTTTCGAACAAAAAAAATTACGTTAATGAAAGAGATGGAAATGTAAGTTGTGATCAATTTGAAAATTGGAAACTATTTCATATGGTTACGACTACTCGTAAAAACTCGAAAAAAGATTTTAACTGCTTTATTCATCATAAAGTTTGCAAGAGTGACGCTAATCTATAAAAAATGTTTCAAATTTTACCGTAAACTTATGAAGTAAAACAAATGTGTAAATAAATAATAGCATTCAGCTTCGTAATAGTGGTAACCGGAGAAATAAACAGAAATCAATGTAAATTACGCACCTCGAGGATCTAGCTGTATCGCTAATGTTAATGTGCTGCCAGGCATTTTCTCGCTGCTGTTAAATTATGGGAGAAAGTAAAACCAGGGAGGAGAGAGTGAAAATCCAGCTAAAAAGGAATAGGCGCTCCAACAGACTGCCAATACTACAAGCATAAGTGAAGCTGTTGCTCTGTGAGATGGTAAATTCTGTTCAGAAATACTGAAACTTCCGAGTGGCCAACAATACAACTAATTGGATGATGAAAACAAAGATGCGGAAACCATAAAGGAAAACGATCACTGACCTCCAGATAGACAAATTTATTATATATCAGTATGTGAACTACAACAGCAATGAAATAGATGAAATAGAAGTAAATGGTGACATGAAACAAGAATGGAAAAGAATTAACTCAGAAGCACGAAAACATGATTCTTAAAGATTGATGAAGAAATGAATTCCTGAAAAAATAAACATAACGATATTACTGTGAAAAAAGTAGTAAGATTCCAAAACTCTCTGACCATTCCAACAGTTGAAAGGAAGAGTAATCAGCTTGGCTCAACTGTAGACTTCTCTTCTTAATTCCATTATGGAACTCAAAGACATCATTCAATACTCTGTTCGCTTTGTGCTTCAACAATATATATTCGCAGTGAGAGAAGCTCATATTTTATTGAAAAGCAGCGCCATTCATTTTATGTTGCTTTTTCCCATCATATTCATTAATTTGTAGGAAGACTAAACCAAAACTTATTTTCAGAAAACCAGTTCATGCATTCAAGGAGTCGCAGCTGAAAGTGAATCATAACACACTGCGCTATTAATGATTGCAAATGATGGCCTTAAGCAGATTTCGAAACATAAGACAAAACCTATCACAAATATTCTAAGAATTGTATTTTGTGGTGATAAGTTCCGATAGGAAGCATCTAAATATTTGATAACGAAGAGAAAACATGCAAATAAGTCCGTCATTATAATCATGCAACCAACAAGCTCCTAACTGGCTAACAAATAAATTATATTTATAGGGGCGAACCTGGAAATGGGCTGCCCATATTGCTGCTTATTCCAGCCGCCTTTCGCTGCTGTTTAAGGGTCGTATCCACTCGTACAACCGTATTCTCGTGGCTCAGCGTCTTTCCCGCTGTGGCAGACAAACAAATAAGTACGTGAAACAGGTGCTTTTTCTTTCAAAAAGTTTTCAATCATAACTAAATACTTAAATTATGACATTTTCAACTGTGTGAAATTGGACCTTTTTTTTTTTAATTTAATAAAAGCAGCATCGCAGTTGCAGCTAATCTGCTGGTTTCTTGTAAAATACAGAAAATTGTTTAGAGGAAATGAAGACTATTTCTCAAAGTAAAAATAAAGCTCCTAACAACGAGAATGTGACCATCTAAAGATGTAGAAAACTTCTAAAAGCTGAAAATGGTAAATGAATCTTCATTGATATGAAGTGGCGGGGCGAAGAATGGAAAAGGAAGTGAAGAAAGGGAGAAGAAAATTGCTGAAAAGTGAGGTGTAAATTTTTTTAAATATTAAGTTAATACTTGATGAACTCATCCCTTGCCGAAATAATACAGCAGAGCACTAAAAATGGGACGAAAAAAGTTCGCATAAACTGGTAAGATAAGGAACTTTTACAAGAATTTTTGTAAAAATAAAATAAAATGCTCCACTTAAATGTACAGCTGTAAACTTGCAAGCCATATATTTACAAGCTAAATTTATCTTTTAAATACCCTTAATTACGTGTTCATGCAGAAATATGCACAAGGCAATTTCAAAGTATCAACGACTTTGTTTCCATGACTGATATTCAGCAGATGTCACTTACCAAAATACTCGGTCTTCCTAGGGATCAACAAGTACTGTGTGTTCATGTTGGAAGTGCAACTGAGCAGTGGAAATAATCAAATGAAGTTCGTCGGAGCTCCCTAATGGCCCATTTTTTAATGGTTGGTGGGACAGATGCTAATTTAAATCGAATTCTAGGCCGAAAGTATTCTTATTCAGTAGTTAAGTGTTCCATTAGCTGATTTCAGAAGATGAACTGAAAAAGCCAGTGTAACTGCTGCTTAACTTATTGATAGCTTTCTCAAGCGAACTAAGACTGCAATATTAAGTGATGAAATAAGCGTTTGAGCAAAGGATGTATAATCAGCTTGTGAGAAATCTATTATTAATAAAATGGAATCCATTATCGCCCAAAATTGTTATTACCCTGAAATGTCGTACACATATGCTAAGACTTAAATCAGGGAAGGATCCAGAATAAGGTAAGACTACCTGAAGTCCTAAACTTAGTCATACCGATCTATGGAAGAACCGTAACATATTATTAAAACCAGTTGAAGAACCTCAACCAGAAATAAAAAAGAAACACGCAATTCTACGTTCCGGTACCTTACATCTCTACGCCGTTTAGTTTTAGTGTTGTCATAAAGGAATAATCACAAAAAAAGTTATCAGAAAATTATTAGCAGTCTAACAAACACATGCATTATATGACGGTACTCAAATATAGTCACTGGTTACTTTCCTCCTAATGTTACCCACCTTATTTACAAAGAATAAGGAAGACCGAACTCGATGATTTTTTTGAGAGAAAGTCACTGATCCTTTTAGTTACAGATTTGAAAAATTTATTTATCGTCGGCGAGTTAACAATATGATCCTGGCAAGACAAGTCATAAACGCAGAAAACCAGCTAATGACAATTTCTTAGCAGATGCCACTGATAAGAAGCATCGTTTATTACAGAATGTAGTTAATCTTAAACGCCTTGAACAAGAGGTGCAAAAATGCAGCAGTTTCACGACTTTTTCACAATCTCAACACTAAATTCTTCACGCACTATTATGATTTTTGGGAAGAAGCTTAGATAAACAGTGAAAAAAAAAAGTGACATTTTTTTCTTCTGAAAACTATGTACAAGTTTGAAAAATACGGATTTAAAGGTACAATACCTTTGTCAGAATCCTGATCGTCAATTGTTTGTGATGATTCCGATGATTCTTTTATGGTACTCGGTGGTGCTTCCTTTTTATTGAGTAAATTACGACCTTAAATTGGACATATAATTAGAAATTCCAGAAAAAAAACTCCAATTTTCTGAGTTGATATGAAGCACTAAGCTTGAGATCATTTTGGGAATGTAAAATAGAACAAACTGCATAACACTGAACTAAAATTATAACATTTTTCATTAATCTACATCTTATTATCTTAATCTCGAATCTCATCAGTGTTGTGATATTCTCAAAAATTGACTGGTTGACAGGTTACACTGATGTTTTTTATGCAATTTATTTACAAACTGAAAGAAACAACCGACGAGCACTAGAAATTAGAAAAATGGAAAGGTAAACTGTTTAAGAATAATAGCAATGAACTATAGTCAATTAAAAACCATATCGTTTTTGCACAGAGTCTCCATCCTTTCATTACATTAATTGTATGTTAAGAAAACTTGCAATAGAGCTTAATTTACAGAAGTGCGGGAACGAGTCTGCATGTACATTCAATCAAAAACAAAGCGCTCCATCTATCTCAAAAGAAAGACAGCTTTGCAAACAAAACTACTAAAGAATTTCATGTCATATTAAAACGAAGACATTACTTTCATAATCAGAACTATAATGCTTTCTAATCAGTGAAGCGAAGGGTATTTCATACTCTACGATTTTGATCGAATATACTTATATCCGATATAAAAAGATACAATAATTTGTGATACTCACCAAATGATGTATTATTATTAATGACGGTAACCGGTGGGTGAATGAATTCAAAACGTGGCAATTTTCCTGGAGCACAGTATTGTTCTCCGATAAGCTCTTTACCTAATTTACCGCTGTTGATGGTAGAACTGCTGAGTGTATGGGCTGTTGTTAATGCTGCCGTAACTGTACTGCCACTAATACTGGTATATTTAGCTGCTAAGTGGCATACAGCAATGGAAGTGAAAGCAAAGAGCAGAAGAGGCCATAGCTGTGTTAAATGCTCCAGAACAAAAACAAAAATGTAAAACATTGGTGGAAACGAGCTCAAAGAATTCGAAATAAAATGCTCCAACTGCTGCACAAAATGAACAGTGATACGACTTTTGCTCTTTCTGTTGCTACAGCTTCACTCAAAGAAAATACCCATATTGTGGTGTCATCAAGTTAGAAGAGCAGCACCTCCCTTCTCAAAATTTAGAAGGATCTTATCAAAACTGCTGCAAAGTGCTATTATTCCATTGCACAGAGAAACATATTAGTTACACTAATAATAAACCTAGGTAAATTCATATTCGAGTTTTCCAGCATACCTTTTTACTTCACTGCAAAAGGGTTATATTAAAAGTCATAAACAAAAATTTAAGTACCGAAGATGAAAAAAAAAGATTAGACCTAGACAACTGTCTCCATATATTCTGCTTCCAAAAGCTGTTTCATAGCATAACTTTGAATATATTCATAACTTACATTTCACATTAACCACTGAAAGTACATAAACTAATTACTAATGCCAAATCAATTTAATTCAAAATTCGACCGCTTTTTGTTATTCTTAAAATTCCTGATTTTTAAAACACGCAAAGACGAATAACTCTGAGAGAAGAAATTAGATATAAAACGAGGTCCCTTACAATTATGATTATGAAACTTCAGTACATATTTGAAAATCTGACATACAGTGGTATAAGAAAGTAATGTTAGAAATGCATCACAACATATTAGAATAGACATAAACTGGATTTATTAAACCATCGAGGCCAAAATAGTTTTGATGGTTGAGTACCATTGTTTGTCCAAGAATTCATGGTTATCATTTCATGCTACATATGAAATGGATATTTTTAATATCGCTTATTTTTTTGCGTATTATAAAGGCATTTCGAGCAAATGCCCGATTTATTTACGTATGATATGATTCAAAACTGAGTAGCATTGACAGCATATCCTTACTAATTCCATGAACACTGTTGATCGGTCCTTAAGCAATGACTAGCACTTCTATTTCACTTCTTATCTCCCAGCTAGATAGATATAACTTAAGAAATGTTTCGCTAGTCAGCACACTTAAAATTCAAAATCTAATCATTGAAATTTAAACAGGATTTTTTAATATTTCAAAGCAGTAGAAAATTCAACCTTAGTATTCAAACTATATCCCATTCACAGCGTTATATTCTATTGACTACATTCCATAGTATATGACTGTCAAATAGGGAAAACAAACGATGCGTACTACAAGAAGCAGTCAAGCTGGAATATACTTTTTAAACAAAGACAAAAATGAACGAAATAAATTGGTATTAACCCATGGGCTCATAATCTTGATTTAGTCGCTAATCATATTAACACTTTAACGACTGCTTAAAATGCAACATATTTCACATTAAAAAATAACAGTTACAGCAAATATACATTACCACATGACATCTGCATATTAACCAATATTTATTAGTAACATAATTCTTAGACTTACGCTTATGACTTATAACTTGGGTACATGAAATCATACTACTTGTTGCTCAAAATAAAGTAAGATGTAAAAAACCAGAAACAATGATATTTTGGAAAGACCCGAAACATTTTAGCTTGCTTACTCTTAACGCCAACAACAATTTTTTTTTTAAATTTTCAATTTCTGGTCTATTCATATTCTTAAAAGATAGATAACAAAATCAAAAAAAATTTTTGAGCTGTCGAGAAAATATTCCGAAATGGATAAAACTTCATTTTGAGGCTGAAACTAAACTTTGATTAATTTTCTATGACTGACAACAAATTGTCAAAATATAAAATTGAACCTGCCCAAGAAAAGTTAAGAAGTACTAGTGCAAAACAAGGACATTCCCTATAAACACATTATATGCAATGTCTTTAGATGCAAAATCATTAATGTGATTTTTTAAAGGAAACTAAAAAATAAACAGAAGTTCAAAAATGCAGTAATTACCACTAATTAGACAAAGTTCCAGACTTTCCAGATAAAGTGATTAAATAAAAAAAAAAGGTGTAGTAGCCAGAAACTAGAAAGCTTCCAATCATATTGTCACTTTATTTCAAATGACCAAATGTTTGAAAGTCCTTATTGCATGAGGACATAAAGCATCGCTCGAAATACTATAAACAACATCAGAAAGTGTCCCGCTTTGTTCGAATCCAATGGAAATAAATGCTTGTAGAAAGGTACTAACATTGCTTTTCGATTTAAAAAGATGGAGACGAATTACTAGTTAATAATTTATCTTTTAATAGCTTCCATTGTTTCTCATCAAATTCAAATTTGATGCAATACGCCATCAAAAATGGCAAATTCAGGATACGACAACGAATTAAGATTGATCGGTCATAATGAAAGCTGTACCATTAGCATTAATTCTGTCTGTATTCTAACATCTCATCGATTTACAACAGTCATTTATAGAATGTAAGAATTATAAAATTTGCTCCTTGTTATAAAATAATTACAATGAGGAATAGATAAAAGAAATGGTTGGCATACTGAACTCAAATCCTACAGGTTACAAGTGAAATAAATTAATAATGAATCTTCTCACCGATCCATCTCTCCTTTCCTCTCTTTTACGTAAATGCACAGCAAGTATTAATTCTTGCTCCAAAATAGGCAGCCTTAGGATAAATAGAATTTCTATACTTCCACTTCAAATTTATGATAACAAACAACGAGCTATCAAAATATAGAAGTGCGACTAATGACTAGCTAATCTACGTGACTCTTTAAATGCTTCGTCTAAAATCCAAAAAAAAAAGAAAAAAAATGATGAGCACATTTTTTAAATTTACAATATTAAGATTTCAATATTTTAAAATGTACTGTAGATGAACTTACTTGATAAATTTCGTGTAGCAATCATCGTTGTAAGTATTGCACCCTGAAATTATATCACTATTTCAGTCATCTTACGCTTACTTAGCAATGTAATCCAATTCTTTATAAAGAAAGGCGATTCGATTATACCCAAGAAATAGTTGACTGATCACTACTTAAAGACGGTAAGATTGGTAGCATTCACATAGAACTTATGTAGATCAGTCATTGGAATTTATAATAAAAGAAGTTGCAACAAACAGCAGTTGATTTCAGCTATTCTTTATGCTTTACATTCAAGCAATGATAATGCGAAAATGCATAAAGATTTGCAATGGAACATTGGCAAATATGGAATCGAGTTACGTAATGATCAGAAATAGGCAAATTATTGATGGAAAAAACTGTTTATAATAAAGCTTTAAAAGTATTTCAAATAGAAGGAACAATTTCCCAAGTGAAAAGCAGGGATAAAAAGCAATTCCGAAGCAAAAGGTTGGAATAACGGACACATACGACAGAGTAGTCATATGATAAAGCCAAAAAAAGCAAGTCAAGCTTAAATTCAGTCACATATATTCTGAACTGAGAACAAGCAGCAAATTAGTTTACATTATGACTAATATAAGTAATAAATTACACCAATGAACCATATGATAAACTTGTATTATCATTTAACAGTAACATACAATTTGAATTAAATGCAAGCGAAGGAAGCATTCTTTCCATGTGCTTGCTAATGGAACGTTCTGTTCAGGAAGTAGCAAAAAAGTCATCATAAAGTGGGCTTACATTATTTCAAGTTCTAAAAACGCAGAAACAATTTGGGTGTGAGAAATGCAATGTGAATATGGGAAGTTCTTGCGCTTTTTTCGATAAATAAACACATCCGTATAACTGAGGCTTTAAGTGACAAACTACTGATATGGAGCTCAAATCTGTCATAAAATAGAGGAGCCTATAATCCAATTTGGACTTACTTGATGCTTGCTGTTACTATTTGTGCAAAAAACAAAAAACGGGGTGAAAACAAGAAAATATTGAAAATAAGATTAGTCACTTATATCAGTAAGCTAGAATAAGGGACTGCAATAAGTAACATGCAGTTAACAAAATGGTATGACTCATGGCTAATATGTTATATTAATAACATATTTAAATTTCTATGCAAAACATTTATTATACCTATCAACTTTGATAAACTGAATACTTTCCAAAAATAATTCAGATTTGAAACCAAGAACCGATAGTAAAGTCTGATTCTCAAAAATAATCAAGACCCTAAAGATAAAGGTTGGCTACTGATAATGTTTGGTACACAATATGCATTATAACAAGAACCACTGATAAATGCATGAATCAGTTCTCTAACATGTGAAAATTTAGAAGGAAAAGGTAAATGAGAAATACGAAAAAATATTTGAGAGTAAAAGTGAAAAGTGTGCAGCTATTTTGAGCTAGTAATAGCGTGTGCGCAAAAAACTTTTCGGAAAACAGATCACTCGACACAGTAGTACGAGGAATGTGAGAACGAACAAAGAAAAAAGAGTTCCACGAGAACTTCAAGTAAAAACAAACTTTCTACAGAAACCCAAAAAAGAAAAAAAAAATCCAGTTACATGCAAGAAAGGATTTCATTTGTCGGAGTGAAATTTCAATTAAAAAATACCTTTAGTTTTCGCCTAGCATTGAATTTCTTCAAGCAATCCACAGTATCCTGGCGATGTATTACTGAGGCAACACGTTCACGATTCTAAATAAAAATTATCTTGATAGTCGAAAATTTATTCATCACCATAGAGTTACTCATCATCATAAACATATTTCTAGGAAACAAAACCAGTTCATCAAGGAAAACTGCATCTTTTTTGAAAGATCGATAACTTACACAAATCCACGGAACTTTTAAAGCTTGTTCTGCAGTTATTCGTTTCTTTGGATTAACCGTTAACATATTATCGATTAAATTCTTAGCTTCAGGAGTAACCGTGTCCCATTCAGGGCTTGGATACTGCACATAAAATCAAATCATTAAAAAGGAAGACAACCATTGAAATAAAAAGATAAGAGCATAAAACTGTTAAACCAAACATAGTAACAACTCAAACATCCTTGAACATAGATAAAAACAATAGAAATTTTTGTAGTAAATTTCGAGAAGGTAAAATACAAGAAATGAGTTGTTTCTGCTGAGTGATTTTACCATACAGTTAATAACTTTTTTAGAAGCTTGCAATCTCAAAGTTTAAAAAAAAGTGCTTACATCATAAGCACCCGCTTTTATTTGTGCATATAAGCGATGTTGGTCTTCGTCCCAAAACGGTGGATAACCAACAAGAAGAATATAAAGGATAACTCCTGCAAAGGTAATAAACCATAATATAATATAACAATTAAAAGAGTGTCATCAAAATCAAAGGTTTAACATACCGCATGCCCATATATCAACCGGTTTTCCATAAGGATCCTTTTTGAGCACTTCTGGTGATAAATAACCGGGTGTGCCTGCAAAACCGAACCATGCTTCCGTATCTCCCTGTACTTCAATTGCAAGCCCGAAATCTGCTAATTTCACTGCTGCACCTTTTGCTTTGCTTGCAAGTAAGAGATTTTCAGGCTGAAAACTTTGTTTCTAAATTATATAAAGGTTCAATATATGCATTTTTGATAATAAACTTGAAGTCTTGAAGACATTTCACTAAGCTTAAGTCCCTATAATTTGCGATAGATTTCTTCCACCACTTAGTTTATAAAAATTTACCTAAGGAAACCGGTGTCAAATAATCTGAAAAATGAAATCAATAATCTGAGGCTCTCTCTATTAAAATTACCTTGAGATCTCTGTGAACCACATTGTTCAAGTGGCAATAGGCGATTGATTCTAGAATTTGCTGGATACAGTGACTGAAATATTTTTTGCAAGATTAAAAATGTTTTTTTTCTTTTTTTTTTCTTATAATTAGTTCACATGAAAGTGAAGAGTTTTGGAGAGTAGAGAAAATTTTCATTTTGTCAAAACTCGACAAAAATAAAACAATCTATCTACTATTACCTCGCATCGGCTTCACTATAAAACTCTCTAGCAACTATGTCTTCGAACAGTTCACCGCCGGTCACTCTGAAGAAAAAGAAAAAAATTTAGAAAGAATTTGAAGAAAAAGAATTTAAAGCAGTACGAGAGTTGGAAGTTCGAAGAATTACCGTCAGGAAAGATCCTCTTAACAGCCAATTTACAACACTGAAAAACCTTGTTTCCAAAATGACTGGAAAGCCAATTTGTCATCTGTTTTGTCAGTATTAAAAAAAAAAAATAGATTTGTGATGAAGAATATGTAAAAAACATACAAATCGAAAACAAGATAATGAAAAGCTTCTTCTTGTATGTTGTCGTGTAATCGCACTGAAATTACCTATTTTGCTTGTCATTTGATCGAAATAAATTTAAAGATTTTGTAAAAACAATTTCAATTGAAATAACTGAAGAGTATCACTTGCCGATATTGGGATGTTGTAGTTTGCGACATATTCGAGCTTCTCTTTCCAGTTTTTGAAAATCTGAAACAAGGAAAAAATTTATTGAAGAAATTTAAGAAGAAATAAGTCTTATTGAATATGGCTTTTTAAAAGTTTTCAGTACCAGATTGCCGACAAAAACTCTAACCTAGTTGAATTTTGGTAAAGGAAATGAATGTAATATTAAATTATTCAAACCACGTGCGGAAAGTTTCTTCGTATTAATGATTTTTGCAGCAAACTCCATACCAGTTCGTTTCTGTACACATCTTCGCACTACCGAAAACGCACCTCTAAAAGAAGTTAGAAAAGTAATGTTACATGTGTTGCTATACGAAAGTAATGCACTACCTGCTTTCGAAATGAAATTAAAATAATGTGCCGGTATGTCCTGGAATGCTGATAACACGTAACATTACGAATATCAGTTACAGTGTTCAAACAAATTCAGGTAAGCAGGCGAAAAGTTTACAGAGTCTATTGTCCCGGTGATTTGGCTGCAACTTGATGCATAAATGAATATGGATATCTTTTTGTGACTATTTGTAAAGAATTAAAAAAAAAAAAAAAAACCAACTTCCCGAGCTCCTCCTTGACTTCATAATTGTCGCTGAAATTTGTCGAGGTATTGTTCATGACGTTACTCGTCTGCGGTATAACTACCATAATTTAATAACACTGAAGGAAAGTATGCATACCGTTTGAAATTTTTTGAACTGCTAACTCGATGCGAAAAAAAACCGTAAGTATACAATAGTCTTTTTTTGCTGAAAATTCTCTACTAGCTTCTCCGCGAGCAAATTGTCTCTGACACGGATCAACTACCTGTGATAATCAGGACATTTTGATCTGTAGGAAAAAAATGTAACATGAAATCGTTTGAAAAATGTATCAAAACGCGACAAATACTCTCATCATGTAAATGTTGACAAAAACTCTAGGCTATAAGAAGCAAAACAATTTAGCACAATCTGTTTGGCACATTAAAAAGTACGCACTATTAAACAATTAATATAAACAAATATGAAAACAACTATGAAAAGTTTCCTCCTTACATTTCAGGTACCATATATCTCTATGACAATGTTCTACAGTGCAAAATAATTGTCGTACTGGAATGGAATAAAAACTCATTTTTTAGGTGTAGTTTATAATACACGAGAAAATATGCATTCTTTGAAAACATTTTATTTTTTTTTATTATTTTCTAGGACAAGAAAAACTTCAAATTTTGTTGCGCTTGAAAATCTGATCCTACTGATAATGAGTACTTATTCTCCAGTTATCTAACAGTTTTCTCAAAAAAACTTGCAACCAACAGGTGTCGATATTACCTGACCATGCCTAACGATGCATCAGACACGGACTTATATGACTTTCCAAAATTTGGTCTTACGCGTAAAACCATTATTTTTAACTCTAATTAGGTAAGTCCATAACTCCTTGACTTAATCACTCTCCCGAAGTTTGCGTGTTAAAGATGTTGTAAGATAACAAAATGAAAGTTATGGTTGCAAATAATCTGTAGAAAGCGTGGAATATTTGTTTTGTAAGTATCGATAAAAACTCGAGGCCATACGACGACAGACACCAGATAACTAGAAATTCTTTACTTTCTTATTTATACATTTCTGTGATTTATCGATAACTGTAATACACTTTAGGTACGCACAATTGCTGATTAGGACGTAACATAGAAAGATGACCAAAAGGATCAGAGTTTCAGAAAATCCTAAAAATTCCTCACTTTCAATTCAGAATAGAAGACATACTTTCAGTGAAGCAAATACCATCCTGACTATTCACTTTTATATGACATGCCGAGGGAATAAAGTCGTTCAAATATCAACAACATATAAGTAGCCAGGATCAGAAACATAAAAAAAAATAATAAAATGGAGTAACATAGTGACATCATAGCAACAAATTAGCAAAAATGAGAGTTTGAAGCCTAAGATAGAAAGTTGAGTAAATATTACCTGACTTAAGAAATCCTACTTCACGGTCCTTAATTTTTCGCAAAACATTCATCATTTTTTAAACCTTTAACTCTGATTAATAAACACGTCGAATGCTCGAATACGAAAGGAGGACAAGGCTTTGCATTTGCGAAAATAGATGTCCACAGAAATAGAAGTTTCATGAAGCTGCATATAGTAGCTATTTTTAATCTCCGTTGTTTAATCTCAGTTGAGCCATGCGACGATAAACACAATTTCGAAAATTGTAAAAGGAGATTCTAAACAAAGAAGATGATAAAATAACGTTAAGGGAAATGAAAGGTAAAGAGAAAAAACCTCAATAACAACTCTCGATTTACTGTAAAAGACAAAAACTCGAAAACTGCAAATGATCATACATTCACATTCAGACTGAACTGCAAATGCAGTAAATGAATTAATTGCTTACCACTTACAAAAAAGAGTTACTATGTTTATACGAATTATACGAATTAAAACTTGAGCAGTTTTTCAAAATTGCTTTGCTCACAAAACATTCCACAAATATTCCATTAAAAAAACACCAGAAATTAATTACTTACCATTTACAAAAAGAATACCGTCCCCATTCATTATTAGCAGCCATCACTTTTCTCTCATCACATTTACTTATTAATACTCCAACAAACCATAAAAACAATATGTCAGTGAACCAATGCCAAACCAATGCCAAATTAATTAGTGATTTTAGCTTCTTTCATTGAAAATGAATTTAAATTGGAACTAAGTGAGTGATATAAATTTCGAAAAAAAAGCTTCAAGTCACTTTTCTACCCCGCTATACACATGCCTAACTCGATTTATTTTTTAATTTTTTTCATTTAGCTAAAGCTTCTCATGTCGTTATAGACAGCAAAAGCAATGGCTAGCAATGATGAAGCACCCTAAGATTTAATTAAAAATGTGATTAAATCAAGGAGAAAAGAAAGATCCAGTTCCCGAAACTCGTTTAGGTTTCAATAACCTTATCAGGAAAAGATATGTCAGTAAAGAATAGTAACAATTTCATGGATATTAGCAAAATTATTTTAGATATAAATAAATAAATGAACAATTTAATTATGAATAAATACAAATAAATAAATAGTTGATACAAGACTAAAACAAAGTCGATTTCAAACACAAATGAACAATGTAGCACAACGGCAATATGATCATGGAGTAAGGCATCACGAAAAATACTGTCGCAATTACTTTTTCTGTCATAAATGAATGGTTTGCTGCGGCTCACCTAAACTTTTACACATCATCCTAAATAAGGAAGTCAAAGACAGAACATTCACTGAATAGACACCATTCCTATGCGATCATAACTGCACCAATCCCTTTTATTTTATTTTGAATAAAATTAATTTTGAAGTAGTCATAACTTTCACTATTTTACACAGTTTCCAACTTAAATCAAGGAGATCATAAAACATTTAAAAAGCAAGTTAAGTTGAAAAAAAAACCTTCTTAAGTTACAGTTAGATAAAGTGACATAACTATAAATTTCCTGATCTTTCTCTGATAACTTATGTATCGAATACGTTCATTTTAAAGTCTCATGAAAGAGAAAAAATTCGCTTTCAGAAAAAAAATTAATTTTAATGTAGTGTGGCACTTTTTTTCTTCCCAAATATTTGAATTTCGTTTACCCATCCTTTATTGCAACTTTCTATTACGCAGCTTAATTTTTTTTTTTGATTTCATGTGATTCACTTACATGTTCCCTTTAATAGTAAACTAAATAAATGAAAGAAGAAAGAAAAAACTGTATGATTTTTGTAATATGAAAACTCAAAGCTGATCTCACGCATGGGGTCGTAATTCCCACATTTTTATTTTTGGAAAGAACTCAAAACAACAACAGAACAACAAATCTTGGAGTGGCTTGGAAAATTGAGTTTCATGTTCAAATTTGGAGCATAAAAACTCTACAGCCGACAATTTATGCCAAAATGAAATTAGCGGAAAAAAAAGTTCTAATCTGATATTCTACAAAAGGTATAGTGAATCCTGCACCACTAATAAAAAACTTATGACTTGTTTGCTCAACTTTCATACAAAGAACGATGGAATTCATTTTCTGACATGGTACAAGAAATATGTACAAAGCAAATAATAAAAAACACTGCAGCTACCTCCTGCAGGATATACCATTTGCTGCAAAGTAATATTGATACCAACAGGTCTTCCAAAACCTCAAAAGCTAACATATAAACCAAACACAGCTTTAGCTGTGTTTCCATAATAATATCTAATGCATCACAATCCTTCAACCTATGATATGTAACAAGTATGACGTCAACTATTCTAAATTCAAAAAAGATTGCTCATTCTTGAAACATCGGTAGCACATGTCAGCTGAGTTGGTGAGCAATGAAATGATTTTGGGTTGGCCAAGAACTTAGCATTTTCAAAAGTTCCGGAAACAATTTTAGACGTTAAAATTGTTTTGAAGAATGCGTTAGTGACGCCGCATTTAAAAACAAGTTAATAAACAAGGTAAAAGAATTGCAGACGTTAACCTTCGTATGACGAAAGGATGATATGAGCAGAAAGGCTTGAAGGGATTCAAAAAATCATTATCATATTATTAGATTTACTTTATCATCTATTGCTGTTAATTCAGTTCTTCATTTCAGTGAATACAAGAACACTTAATGAGGAAACAACGTAAACCATGCTGAAATAATGACAATAGTAAGCACTGAAAAGCGAAATTATTAAAGTATAAAATGCAGCTATGAAATGACAATTTTAAACATATAAACATCAGATTGGGAAGAAAAAAATAAGATCAGTAAGTCGGACTAAAAAGTTTCACCACGCCTACAAATCTCATCGTTTCACGTCTGCTATATACTTAACGTTTTTAGAAATAGATCAATAAGACATGGAAGGAAGAGAAAACATATGATAAGTAATGTGGTTGGCTTATTTAACAAGCAAACAACCTATAGGCCTAAGCATAGGCCATTCACGAACTCAGACATACAAACAAACATGAATATAGCATTATATCTCTCTGCCTATGTATTTATCCGTGGTAGCTCTTCCTTCTCCTCCTTCCCGAGAAAATAGAGAGAAATTGATTGTTCGAGGCTTTCACAAGACTCGTTTCCAGGACGGCATGGTAGAGTATGAACCTTTTCAAGAGATCTATTTCCACTGATCACATTGCCTTACAGTTTACAGATATTCTTTTATTCCAGTACTTCCGGCCTTCTGAAGATTTAACAAAGATGAACTTTCAACACAAACAAGTTGCCTTTCTTATGAACTAGTTTCTTCAAAAGAATTCTGTAATTCATGCAACTTAAAAATATTCCTTTTTTATTTTAAAGTGATGAAAAATGTAAAGTGTATTTGTAAAGTCACTGATTGACGTTTGATTTGTAGAGTACATCAATTCTATGGAAATGAATGTCAATGGACGTGAGGGAAAAATTAAGCAGAGGAAGAAAGGTAAGCAAGCAAAATGATACCTCAGGGAAATTTGCATACTGGGGCAACAACTGCTGAAGAATGAAGATCAGTACGAAATGTTATCAGATAATAATCCCCTATGTCCGTCAACAATAATTACACACTATTTCCACTACAGAGCTAAGGATTTCAAAATCTTTCACGCTCTCAACACTAAGACAAATCGAAATCAAATGATAAATCTCTTTTCCCTCC